AGATATCGGCCGAGTTCATTTTTTGCCTTTGTTGAAGTCAAAGTCGAGGTCCATAAAAACGCGAAAGATCATAATGAAACCACGAGAGTCATTTAAGTATTTAATATTTCGGCTGTCTTCGTCCGCGATTTTTTAAAAAATTACGAACTTTGTAAGTCCACTGCACGAATTTTTTATCTCTTACGCGGGATCAAAGCGGGCGGCCCCGAGCCTATCTTGCCCGCCAAGGTAGCCAATATTCGAACACAGCACTCGCTTCATATTGCCCAAGGGCGCTGCCTGCTCCATAATAACAATTTTTATTTTCGAGTATGGGTACTGACCGGACGGTGGGACAAAAAGTCTTGTGATCAATTTGCTGAAACTGTTGCAAAAGTTTTAGACAAATATCTATCGATAAAACGCATCCATAAATAACAGTTTATTTATCTATCCTTTTTTTTCAAGAAAAATGGACCACGTTGTCTGCCGATGACTATTACATTCAATCATTTTTCCAGTCGTCTAGTTAAAGCCGCATCACGCTTTGCGAATAGCATGGTCTACCTCAAAAAGAAAGGAGTGAAATTCTAAATATTTAACTTTAAAACTGGGGGGAAACTAGACTTTTCTTGTCACTTGCAAGATTAGTTTTCTCAGCAACATCGATGTACTTTACATCCTCTCTCAAAGTCCTCTTCCTATAAACCTGCGTTGTGTGTTGTTGAACTATATGGTTTTCTCCTTATGAATAATGCATCCTTTCTCCTCTTAGGCGTTCCCAGGAAACCTAGACGAAAACACCGTTGTGAAGAATTCACTCATTAGTGACGTCAAAGCCAGATACGTTCGCTTCTATCCTGTCACATATGCCGCATATCCATGTTTGAGAGTTGAAATATTCGTGCGAAAATGAGCAATTTTTACCCAGTTTTTCTCATCTATCTCCGTTCCTGAAGGTGACAGTGACACATTTACAAAGGCTTCCAATGCCCAAAACGAAATTTGATAACCAAAAACGTCTCCCAGAAACAGAGTTCAGATTGCCTTTAATCTATGATGAGTAATAAAGGAAACAAAGTGGGGAAAGGATCAAAGATCTCTTTTTTTTATTTTCAAGGAAATGGCATAACGCTTGTCTTTTCTAGTACAAGATCTTTTTAAAGTGTTCAAGCCTTGTATACAAATTATCGCTTAGAGTTCTTTGTTTCAGTTTCAAGTTATGTAGGGCTCAGGTTAGTTCAGCTAATCCTCGCTTAAACAGTCTTGCTCCTGCTAAGAAATAAGTTGTAGCAATAACAACAGAGGGTTGGCAAAAAAGGCAAGATTCTAAGAATAAATGTCCAGTCATACTGTTCTCGTAACATGCATTTGATTTAAGTTATAGCCTACGTTTTAGAAACGATACTTGCAAAGCATTTTGTATAACCAGTAAGTATACTCAGTGGCGCCTGTACTAATAAGTTGTGTAGTTCCTCCTATGATATGTTTGGTAGCTAGTTCTCAAATCGCCTATTTCAGAATTTAGATTTAATTCACATAAAATCTTAGTGAATAAGAACCTTACACTGATGTACGTTTGCTCTTTGGTATTTGATTCATAAAATGGTTAAAGAGAAAAAAATGTTTACATCACTTATTGTGTTTAAAATTTTAGACAGACACGAGCGTAATCGTTCGTAGTCATTACGGGAGTAAAATACCTTGCTCTGATCTCGCTTCTAGCCAATAAGAGCATGCTAACCATCAGCCCATTCGATCAATAGTGAAAAGACAATTTTGCGCCGAAAAAAGGCATATTGCCACTTCCATTGGAGCACTGACTGCTGTCAGCTCTTAACTTCAACATTTCACCTTTTTGCGCATATCCCCTACCACCTCCCCAGATTTAAAAGTTAGTCGTAAGAGGGTGATTTTTTTCTCTCACGATGTGTCGTTTTGAAAGCGTCAACATATCAGGGTATCATGTGTCTTGTGGGTAGTGCGGTTGACATTTGGCTCAGGTCCTTAAAGTGTCTTCTAGTCCTTTTCGTGTTCGTAGGATGAATTCAAATACATTTGCTTATTCTTAGGATCTTCATTTTCTTTATTCAGTATGTGAGTCATTCATGCTGTCCAGAGAGACATTTTTACTTTATATCGAGCTTGGAAAAACCCAATTGAAGGATATATCGTCAGAATTAAACTCAGAAAAGAACTCCTCTCTAATTAAGCATTTAAAAGAAACCTGATCGATATTCGAGTCTTAACTACTAAGCCAAGACGTTCGGGATAGGTGTCATTTGAACTGAGATTCTACCGCCTTGTGAAAGTCAGTTTGATATGAAATTACCCTTGTTGGTCAATTTTGATGGTAAAAGCGAGCGATCAAAATTGTTTTAGAACGATAGATAAACTATCAACCTTTTCACATAATTGAAATTTATTTTTATTACTTCTGCTGCATGATCGTGCTGTTTTGAGATGTGGAATAACAGTAAGTACCAGTCATTAGAAAACAGACACCAACCCATCCGTTCAATTATGAAAAAAAATGATTGAGTTTCATTTAGACAATATTTTTAAAATATTCGGCCACCGAACTAGGTGAAATAGCTTTTGAAAATATTTTTCACTCAAGAACCCGCTAAACACCTTTAATTTAACACTCTCAATTGATAGAAAACGCCAAACTCTGTGTTGCAATTAAAACTACTTTCGATAATATTTAGCTCCCAAGAAGCCGATAAACATGCCACTGATGAGATAAGGATGACCTGAATGCAGAATACGATCAAAGGCGAAATCTGCACTTGGTTCCAAGTATCACCATCTCAACATGACAAAAATGTGCCCATTTGAGAGAGGTTAGTGGGGTTCACCGTTGGCCGCAAACAGCCAAAAGTCAGTCTTAAAACATGATATTTTTAACCTCTAGTCGTAATAAAAGGAAATATGTGGTAGCGGACTTCCTTTCGCTTCTGGGATATGTTGACGGACAGCTGAATATTTCTGGGCCTTTAGGTTCTTTATTCAGTGTGTGAGCGGTGGCTTTCCTGAAAGGCATAATTAATTCATAACGAGCTGGGGAAGGGAAGTCAGTTGAAGGGGCAAGAATTGAAATCATTTCACTTCCTGCGATAGTGCTTCGCACCTCAGAATAAGATCAACCAGAGTCAGTTAAAAGAAACTAAAAGTATTATCAACCAGGTATGTGTCTAAGTTTATCCATATCTTGATTTCAACGTTGCCATTTCAGAGAAGGCGGAAAAATAAAACATGTCTGGAACAGTTAAGTGAAAACATTCGCCTCCATAGCGGCAGGTTATCATTCTTCCTATCCTACAGAGAATAGCTTACCCATGACCAAAGTTCGAACTTTGCTTATTTGTGAAAGTTTCCTAATAACGTAGTTTTTTTCCATCCCGGAATATGACAGGTAAATTAAAATACATGACCAAATGATGTTTCGCCAAATATCAAGAGGAAGGTGAACTGAAAACTACTCAGCGCTTTTGCTTTCCTCATATATGTGTTTGCATTTCATTTAAAAACGAATTACAAGAGGAGAGAGGCAATGGATGGAGTTTAAGGCGACAACGTTCTTAGGAAGCTTTTTGGAAGTTTCTCCACAAAGTTATTGGAGTGGCTAGTGGATGATTTTTTTTATTCTCTAGTCATTAATTTTGTATGGAATGTCAAAACTGCAGGTCTGCTTTAGCTCTCTTGCTTTGTAGGATATTTTCTTTGCTAAGTATACTTGAGCATGCTTATTTAAATTTTTTTTTTAATTTTTTTGGACTTCATCAGCTTTCTCACCTCCCCTTTGACTTGTCTAACACTCCGATCCGCCCTTTTCATCAAACATTTTTCAATAAATGTGCTGAACGTCTTCTTTGCAGGTACTTAACGAAGGCAGCGTGGTCGAGTGGTCAGCGTGTTGGACTTGCGATCCGCCGCTCCCGGGTCTAAGTCCCACCCTGGCCACTACCTGGATTTGTTTCTCAGTAGCCCCGAGTTTTAAATCCTCGGCCATGCTTGTAAATAGCCAACTGGTTTACCTCCGGCGAGTTGGGACTCTTAACAATGTTATGTTCAATTTGAATTATCTGTTTATAGCCCACAATGTAAACTACTGGGTTACCAGTAATTGTGTTAGCTATTAAAGTTAATTTTTTTTGTTTTTGTTTTTTTAGTTCTGATATGCCTCACATGACTGGTCGACAGGCTTCATTTTTTACCGCGCTGTTTTTGATTTCTCAAATGTTCCGTGACATTGTCGGTCAGCAGTGTGGAGCTGGTGGAGACCTACACTCAATTTATCAAATGATGCTTAAGGACCACACCTATAAGACGTTCAAGTTTCCACCAGGCACGCTGGAATGCAGAGAGGCTTGTCTCGCTGATGAAAGATGTCAAAGCTATAATGTCGTCATGTTCATCGCAATATGTGAGTTAAATAACCTGACTAAAGAGGCCAGACCAGAGGACTTTGTCAAGGACGAGGAAAGATATTACATGCCGATAGGTCGAAAACGAGGTAAAAGAACGTGAAAAGACTAAACAGTAGCAACGCACTAAAGAGATTGGGGGGCGTTCAATCTACTAGTTGAATTGTCTAATTTGAATGTAAGTCTAACATTTACACAAAAACGTTACCCACCATTGTGATAAATAGTTTTAGAGAAAGGCTGGTAGACTATTAATTAAAAGTGCATTAAGGTAACGCAGAAAAGTGGTATGGGTCACCTAATGTTCATGAATTTATGCTGCTTGTAAATGTCGTTAGTATTCCTATCTTTTTCAACCATCTCAACATATGTAGCACCCAAAGTCTATATTATCTATATCATATTGTTCTAGATCGGGAAGAAAAAAACCAATGCAAGTAGATATAAGCGTGACTGCCTATTTCATTAATAACGATTTATTTAGAATGCGAGCCTGTTGGTGTGGCAGACAGGAACATAATACCAGACGCAAGAATGACAGCGAGCACCACTAGCAGTGATAAAGAAAGGCCATACTATGGCCCCGGCCGATTGAATGAAGGTAGAGGACATGGAGTGTGGTGTCCTGATACTAAATCTGACTGAACAGACTTTCTTCAAGTTGATATGGGCACAGAGCACCTTGTTTGTGCCGTGGCGACACAAGGACATGGAGGAGATACTCGAGTCACCAGTTACAAAGTACGCCTCTCTGCGGACGCAATAACTTGGATCACTTACAAGGAAATAAACATTGAAAAGGTACAGAACGATGGTAACTTTGAGGTTACATTTTTATCTTAATATGATCCATAACCTAAGATAAGGAGCGATGAAAAGAAGGAGAGAGATGAGGTTCATAGGAAAGATTTTAAGCATCAAAATTCACACCGGATTGCTTAAAAGAAGAGCGGATTTAAATAGTAAGTCAACGATTTATCTCTCGTTTCTCACGTAAGATCATTGGGCTTGAAAAACATCTACATTAAATTTATGTAATCTTAAATTGACCATCCAATATTTATCAAACTTAGTAAACAAATATTGTTTGCAATCTCTCTTATACCGTGTTGCGACCTGGGCCGCTCTGAAAGAGTGTTTGTCTCTTTGTTTCGTTATTTTGTTTAAAGACATAGTTTTTTTTTTATCCTTTTTTCGTTTTCTTTCTCTTTTATGATTTCTTTCCTTGATTTTCAGGTGTTTGTAGGAAATTCCGATGGAAGGAGTGTTGTGAAAAATTCATTGGGTACTGACTTCAAAGCCAGATATGTTCGGTTTTATCCTGTCACATTTAACCACTGGCCATGCACGAGTGTTGAAATATACGTGAGGAAATGATGGACCAAACAAATTTACTTATCTGACTGCTCAATAACTAACAGGATGCAATCAGAATAACAAGAAAACAACACCAAAAAAATCACAAAAATTATTTTAGAATTGATAGTGATAATGATAGCAATGATTATGATAGAAGTATTGACAAAGATAACAATTACAAGTCTAGGCTGGAATATAAAAACAAAGCTCTGATTCCTTACGGATAGTCAATGAACGAACGGAAAATCTTCTATATTCAGCACAAACAACAACAAACATATGAAACATATGTGTGAACTGCGGTTATGAGACGTATATGAGAACGATCCTTCGCAGTAAAGCACTATTTGAGCAATAGTGAAAATCAGACCTGAAAAAAATTTCAGGCCTGTACGGGATTCGAACCACTGACCTCTGCGATACTAGTGCAGCGCTCTACCAATTGAGCTAACAAGCCAACTGGGAGCAGGCCATCAAATTAATTCGATATAAACCCGTAGATGATAAATCAAACAACAACAAACATATGAAACATATGTGTGAACTGCGGTTATGAGACGTATATGAGAACGATCCTTCGCAGTAAAGCACTATTTGAGCAATAGTGAAAATCAGACCTGAAAAAAATTTCAGGCCTGTACGGGATTCGAACCACTGACCTCTGCGATACTAGTGCAGCGCTCTACCAATTGAGCTAACAAGCCAACTGGGAGCAGGCCATCAAATTAATTCGATATAAACCCGTAGATGATAAATCAAACAACAACAAACATATGAAACATATGTGTGAACTGCGGTTATGAGACGTATATGAGAACGATCCTTCGCAGTAAAGCACTATTTGAGCAATAGTGAAAATCAGACCTGAAAAAAATTTCAGGCCTGTACGGGATTCGAACCACTGACCTCTGCGATACTAGTGCAGCGCTCTACCAATTGAGCTAACAAGCCAACTGGGAGCAGGCCATCAAATTAATTCGAGATAAACCCGTAGATGATAAATCAAACAACAACAAACATATGAAACATATGTGTGAACTGCGGTTATGAGACGTATATGAGAACGATCCTTCGCAGTAAAGCACTATTTGAGCAATAGTGAAAATCAGACCTGAAAAAAATTTCAGGCCTGTACGGGATTCGAACCACTGACCTCTGCGATACTAGTGCAGCGCTCTACCAATTGAGCTAACAAGCCAACTGGGAGCAGGCCATCAAATTAATTCGATATAAACCCGTAGATGATAAATCAAACAACAACAAACATATGAAACATATGTGTGAACTGCGGTTATGAGANATTTTTTTCAGGTCTGATTTTCACTATTGCTCAAATAGTGCTTTACTGCGAAGGATCGTTCTCATATACGTCTCATAACCGCAGTTCACACATATGTTTCATATGTTTGTTGTTGTTTGATTTATCATCTACGGGTTTATATCGAATTAATTTGATGGCCTGCTCCCAGTTGGCTTGTTAGCTCAATTGGTAGAGCGCTGCACTAGTATCGCAGAGGTCAGTGGTTCGAATCCCGTACAGGCCTGAAATTTTTTTCAGGTCTGATTTTCACTATTGCTCAAATAGTGCTTTACTGCGAAGGATCGTTCTCATATACGTCTCATAACCGCAGTTCACACATATGTTTCATATGTTTGTTGTTGTTTGATTTATCATCTACGGGTTTATATCGAATTAATTTGATGGCCTGCTCCCAGTTGGCTTGTTAGCTCAATTGGTAGAGCGCTGCACTAGTATCGCAGAGGTCAGTGGTTCGAATCCCGTACAGGCCTGAAATTTTTTTCAGGTCTGATTTTCACTATTGCTCAAATAGTGCTTTACTGCGAAGGATCGTTCTCATATACGTCTCATAACCGCAGTTCACACATATGTTTCATATGTTTGTTGTTGTTTGATTTATCATCTACGGGTTTATGTCGAATTAATTTGATGGCCTGCTCCCAGTTGGCTTGTTAGCTCAATTGGTAGAGCGCTGCACTAGTATCGCAGAGGTCAGTGGTTCGAATCCCGTACAGGCCTGAAATTTTTTTCAGGTCTGATTTTCACTATTGCTCAAATAGTGCTTTACTGCGAAGGATCGTTCTCATATACGTCTCATAACCGCAGTTCACACATATGTTTCATATGTTTGTTGTTGTTTGATTTATCATCTACGGGTTTATGTCGAATTAATTTGATGGCCTGCTCCCAGTTGGCTTGTTAGCTCAATTGGTAGAGCGCTGCACTAGTATCGCAGAGGTCAGTGGTTCGAATCCCGTACAGGCCTGAAATTTTTTTCAGGTCTGATTTTCACTATTGCTCAAATAGTGCTTTACTGCGAAGGATCGTTCTCATATACGTCTCATAACCGCAGTTCACACATATGTTTCATATGTTTGTTGTTGTTTGATTTATCATCTACGGGTTTATGTCGAATTAATTTGATGGCCTGCTCCCAGTTGGCTTGTTAGCTCAATTGGTAGAGCGCTGCACTAGTATCGCAGAGGTCAGTGGTTCGAATCCCGTACAGGCCTGAAATTTTTTTCAGGTCTGATTTTCACTATTGCTCAAATAGTGCTTTACTGCGAAGGATCGTTCTCATATACGTCTCATAACCGCAGTTCACACATATGTTTCATATGTTTGTTGTTGTTTGATTTATCATCTACGGGTTTATATCGAATTAATTTGATGGCCTGCTCCCAGTTGGCTTGTTAGCTCAATTGGTAGAGCGCTGCACTAGTATCGCAGAGGTCAGTGGTTCGAATCCCGTACAGGCCTGAAATTTTTTTCAGGTCTGATTTTCACTATTGCTCATATATTCAGCACAATTACACAGCTAAACAGAATCTCGGGTAGACGGATAAGATATTCCGAATTTGTTTCAAAGTTGTTTGTGTAACGTCTATATTTATCTAGTATAACGTTCAGTTACCATTGGTGATTTCTGGCGTGATCTCTAGATACATATGAGTCATCTTTTCTATCCAGACCAGTTGATGACTTGTGGAAGGAACCACATCAGTGAAAGTGGAATTTAAATTCCTGAAGCAGGACAAAAATAGCCAAACAATGCAATAAGTGAATGGCTTATGCAAATAATATCAATAGATTCAGTGGAATGGAGACTCCTGAAGCGTGGATGCCTGAAACCAAAAAGCAAAGCAGTCAGCCAATAAGTAATCAGTTATGTAGGAAAACAGTATCAACTCGTCCAAACAATAATGTACCAACAAAAGCGGGCTAAAACACGCCAACAGCAGCTCAGTATGCTACATTAATAGCAATGAGTTACTTGTCAACCTCATTACCCGATGAAGACAAGCAGTAAAGAGCTTATAGGGTCGCGGTTTACAGTTGCCATTTATAGCTTCAGTCAGCAAATAATAAATACTATTTATTATGAAAAAGAAAACGTTTTATGTCTATTTATTGCCTGGGAACTGTTTTTTACTCGCTGATATTAATTAAAAGCTGAATCCACCAAAGAGCTCCTCTTTCAGGTGTTTGGCAAATTTAATGCGGGAGTGGGGAGGGAGACATTCTGGGGGTGGTAGGAAATTGAAAAGTAAGGAAACCGGAGTTAACCGCCGACTGGATGGGTCACCTGGCTCATGAATAGACTTTAACCTCGATTGTCGATATTCGATAGTCGATTGGTATTGGCGGAGGAACGTGCAAAACCTGATCGGCATCATTGTTATTCTTACGAAGCTCCCACCTCAACCCCCGTTATGGTAGCTTTTTCTTTTCTCCGATAGTTAGCATAAAAGGGTCTGTGCTCGATTCCACCAAAGTAACGCTTTTTTCGCGCATCTTGTTCCTTTGCTAAGAAAGCAAAAAATCACGCCCTTTTAATCTTCCCACGAGTTTTAAAAGATTTAATTAAATTCAAAACTAATGCGTGATAACTCTTCTTCTGCCGTCCGCAATGGCTTTATCACATTCATCTGACAACTAACTAATTGAACTAAAAAGGTTTTGACAGATTTGGTGACTGGGGACGAAGCGATCAGAAGGCAACTGCACAAAACTTATTCCCTCTGGATGTAAAAGTCGTGGTTTAAACCAGAATCAGGCCATAAAGTGTGTTGTGTTTCGGGATAAAATTTCGTTACTCACACAACCTTCCCAACACAGGAATTAAGGTTGATATCACGGGAATAAAAAAAACTGTCAGGAGCACTTCACGAAATGTAAGATATTATGTATGATGTGTAAGCGAAATGTTCCGTACACCATTCGGCTAAGAACCTTAACCATACAGTCTTTATAACTATTAAATTGATCAATCCGCCTTGAATCAAATCAAGCACTTTTAAAAACAGATCATACTACAAACAAACGTAGCGTCTCCAACCCATGACGTCTTTCTAGCTATCAAAAAAGGTTATAGCCTGCTGAGCTAAAGGAAATATTAAATTTAGGCAGTGTAAGGTTTCGGTAATATTTTGAGAAAGCTGTTTTCGAGAAAGCTCGATCATTCAGATGTCGTGATGCCTCTCAAAGACCGTTCTTTTCAAATAAGCCCCGGCACAGTTCTAAGTGTTTTCTGTTTGCTTCTTTACTCCGCTGGATTCATTCGAATTGAGACCAAGTTCGATGATTATGAACGAAGGTTGAAGACAGTGGAGGAATTGATTCCTCAAGATCAAATGATGCAATTGAGGACGGATTTTGCTCCGACTGAAAAAGGTAATGTCCAACTGTCTTTAAATTCCAAACACGGTCGTCCGTTTTTTTGCTAGTTGTGCTCCTTCAAAGTTTAAGGATGCGAATTGCTCTGAACTGTCAAACGATGATGTTTCTGATCAAAGTTACTCGAAAGCTAATGGTCATGTCCTCCCACTTCCGTTCTAGCAAAATGAATAATTTGAACAAGATTTATCGTAGAGAGATGTTTTTTTCGTCTTATCATGAGCGATGTACAAAGAAAAACGTCGGAGTTCCCGTGAGGAATAAAACCTCAGAGCTTCGGATTCTGCGCTCCAATGCTCGATCACTGAACCACAGAGACTCTCTGGTGAACAAAGCCCATCACGAAGTTCATATTCGACACGCGTCCTGCATACTGCTAGGATCGGCGATGTCGATCGGTAGAGTCATCATCCTTCCATTAATAAATCGACGCTTCCACAAATCTCACAACGTAGGAAAAGTATACCAGGGATATGTTTTACACCATATCTAGTCTCTCGTTTTCATTATGAAATAAGTTCCAGACTTGCCAAAGACTAAAAACAAAGGCTCTCAAGACTAGCAGTACACTATTTTTAAATAGCGGTATTAAAATAACAGATTTGATGTGTTGCCAATTGCTCTGTCAACAAGAAATCAAAGTTCTCTTGTTAGTCTCCTTGTGAACATAAAGCTTTGAAATATGATTTACCTTCTCGTTAGGTTTAGTACTCCAAATGATTAAATTTGTAGAGAAATCAAATCAAGAGATTAACATGACCCATTTGACAAGGGGTTAAATCCAAATCTCTTTTACGTCGCTTTTGATGACTGAAAAGGAGTTTCTGTCCTCACTCTGATAAAATTTGTCATCAGCTTCGGTGCTTGTAATTGATCTTAGCTCGTTTTCATGTTATTTGAGATGACAAGAAGGGCGTTATGAGGTTACCCCTTTTCGTTTTATGATACATTTTCAGTAGTCCCCACCACCCCTACCGAGCTTGAAGTCCATCGACAGAAACGCAGTATTTCACATCCATCTCCTATTAATGACTCGGCTGGGATTAGAAAAATGATAGAAGACATTGTTTCATCCACTTGGAAGATTGTCCACAACAAAGCTGCTTCGAATGCTTGTCCCCGTGGCCTTCCCGGACCTCCGGGAAGTGCTGGACCCAAAGGTGACAAAGGAAGAAAAGGACGAAAAGGATCTCAGGGAGTAATGGGATCACCAGGAGAAGGAGGAAAACAAGGAATCATGGGACCACCGGGGATAAGAGGAGAAAAAGGAATACAAGGTGACATTGGGCCACCGGGTATTCTGGGTATCCCAGGGACTAAAGGTGAACCAGGTGCACCTATTGCAAGACCAAAAGTGACAATTTCTCCCCCAAAACTTAATGTTAACGAAACCAATACAGCCTCGCTCCTATGCTCTGCTTCTGCAAATCCTGCAGCTCAGATATCTTGGTCAAAGACTGATGGATCGTTACCTAACAACAGGACCATAGTGACGTTTAATGGACTTATGCAGATAAGCAATGTGCTTCTCGAGGATTCTGGCACATACAAATGTGTGGCGAAAAATATCCTGGGAGAAGATGAAAAAGTTTCAAGTGTCGTCGTACACAGTAAGTTGTATATTTATTTACACCATGCGTTTGAAATTGGCCAGATTAATTTTCTTTCACTAGATTTAGGGCTTTAGTGAAAAGAAGGAGTGATGACAAGAAAAGGTGCAGCGTTTCTCCACTGCTACCTTTTATACTTTTGTTTAACTGCCGTGGTGTATTTGTTGTTGTTGCAATTTTTGTCTCACTGTTTTTTTGCTTTGCTTTTTGTTTTGATTTGGAGATTAATTCTTTAGCTTTTAAAATACCTGTAATTTTTTCTAACGGATTACTAGCCTACATAAGATAGTCAAAGCATGATATGGCCATCGATATCCAAATAGGCTGGTCACATCAGCCTTTGTCACTATTAGATGAGTCTTATTCGTTACTCGTTGACAGGTCGTCCGAAAGTCACACTCTCATTTGGTCCAACATACGTTGAAAAGGGTAAGAACATCACTTTACCAAAATGTCACGTTATTAGCTCTCCTCCAGCAGTAATCACGTGGTCTAAAGTGCACGGTGAGTTGGCAAAATCCAGGACTGTTTCAAAGGATAGGCAGCTGTTGATAGTTTATGCCCAAAAGCTGGACTTTGGTTTGTACAAGTGTACAGCATCAAATACATTAGGATATGATTCTGCTGTTACGTCGCTCGCTGTTGTAGTATTGCCTAAGTTTATTGTAACTCCACCCACAAAGGTAATAGAGATCATCAGCTACAATATCACTGTCCCCTGTAAGGCCAGTGGAGACCCTCAACCAAAAATCACCTGGGTCAAAGAGAATGGAGAGCTGCCAGTTGGACGATCGCAGGTTAGTGAAGATGGAACACTGAAAATATTAAACTCTAAGAAAGAGGACGCGGGAAGATATGTATGTACAGCAGCCTCGAACCAAGTGATCGCCAAGGCAGTGAGTACAGTGGAATTATCTATTGTCAAAGGGGGTAAGTCAGCTCTATACTTGCATCTTCTATATTTTTAAACCATTTTTTGCATTTTCATAACTCTAAGAACATTTATAAGATTTGTAATGCCTAATTCTCGTCACATTTCTTGAAAAATCCTCATCAATGTTGGCGAAGGAAAAAATGGAGAGTCGGGTAAAAACGCAGAATTGAGAGGCAAGCGGGGTGCTTTAACGCATCCGTTAGCAATCCATGGTTTTTCCTTTTTAACCGACCAACGTTTTCATTCTCGTATATGATCTATAGCCATTGCTCTTACTTTTGTTAAAAGCGTTCGTTTCTCCATTATGGGTGTTGGCGGGAAATTGAAGGAAAAGCCTCATTTTATTCAAGAGATGAAGTAAGCCTTGCAAGGGGACTGCCAAATACATGTCATTAATTGGACTCTAGCTGTTTTCATTAGAAATTCTACAGAGATACCACTTACCCCATGTCTAAATAGTCTGTTGTTGAAAGATTCTTGGCATTATGAGGGGAGTGGGGATTGGGATTAGGGGAATGCTACCTTGGGATAGTGGACAGGAACAAAGTAACAGATGGAGGAATAATAGCAAACACTTTTCAAAATAATACTATGCCCGATTCCATGGCAAGAGAAGGAGGGGACGATTCCTCAGCAAAGGACATTATCATTCAGTACTTTGTCACGACAGAAAGGTTTTACACTTTCACGCTCCAAAAACTGTGGGAAAAAAATGAAACTGTGAAGTTTGTTTACTTAATGTCTGTGCCATTCAATTTCAATCAGTATGCGAGCCTGTTTAAAAAACTGAAAGAATACAAGATGCCATAATGAGAGCAACCAGCATTTTCGATCAGAAAAATTATCCATACTTTGGCCGACTGAATGAAACATGGCCAGGCGGACCGTGCTTGACTAATACTAAAACTGACTGGAATTCACATAAAACGGTGCTCAGCATTGTGATACATGGCTTTTAAAGAAAACTTGTGAGACTACTCATTAGAAGTGGGTTAACGTAACGCAAATAAATGTCATGGGTGACCTGAAGCTCATGGATTTTACGCTGCTTGTTTTTGACGTTTAATATTCTTAACCTTTTTAACTATCTCAGCATAATCCGCACCCAAAGTCTGTACTAGTCATTTCATATTGTTCAAGATAGGACTTAAAAACAATAAATGA